ATGTGGTATGCACGAGGTATCTCGTCAATTAGCTCACATTAAACGTCATTAGCTCACATTTATATGGCCCCAGCGCCATCGTCGTGCACTTTCGAGCCGCGACAACGGTACTGCCGCCTCGCGGGCCACTCTATGCTACCCATAGACTAGATCATTCAATACGACCTCATTTGAGATTGTTCGATTGCCTTGACATACAATTATGTCAGCTTCATCAATTAAAAAGGTTTTTTGGTAGAAAAGCTGTTGTTGGCGAGTCAAGACCTACATATTCAAGAAGATTTAGAGGAAGAAATTCAGACATCGACGAATGTCGTGGTTACACAGCAGTGTGCGATCGTAACGCCTGGTGCACGAATACTATCGGCTCGTACAACTGCGAATGCATGGCATCTTACAGAGGAGACGGAAAACACTGCACTTATGTTGGACTTGGTGAGCGAATTTTATTCAAATCCGAGAATGCGGCCATCAAGGGGTATCTCAGCTTGAAGATCGAAGAGTGTCGAGCCATAAGCAGTCAAAAAAAACATAAATAAATAAGTTGATAATCAAATAAAGAAGTCTGTGATTGGAAGTCCGCTGACTGTCCTTGAGCTCGGTCTGGATATTTTTGGCGCCCTCGCGCACCCTGATTTGACATACAGCCCAGTCGTGCGCCATAGTCCACTGTCGCCACCTCTTTCCTTCGGAATTTTCTCATGCATTCCAGAAATACGTTTTTTTATCAATCATTATTCGCTAAAGAGCGATCCAATTTATGAGTCTGGAGCCCTTACAATCGTGTGTCTTTTGTATTACAATCAAAGACTGTGATGGCATAACTGGATAGAAACTGGCTCAGCTTGCTATCTTCTAGAGCTTTTTGCTCCTCAGACCTCCTTTCGCGACATCTGCTCTGATTATGTTCCTGAGTCTTCCAGAAAACATTTTGAGCTCCTCTGTATTAAGGCGCTTCGAAGACTCCGTGCTATGAAGAGATAATAAATAAAGATTTCAAAAAAAAAATCGGCATTCATAGGAAAGCAGTGTTGCAAGGAGAAAAGTTGGCGACTCTTACTTGGTCTGTAGTACGAATCCCTCCTCTGCCATCGGCCGCTTCGCTCCTTTGGGAGCACGTAATTATTTGCAGGCGTTTCCTAAAAGGCTGCAAGCGCAGTCTTGTTTATCAATTGATTGGGAGGTTTGAGCGGAGACTCGATTTTGTGTCCGGTCGAAAGAATTCAGGTGGCTCTTCATTGGCGCAGATTGTGGTCAAGACCGAGTGGTTCAAGGTGACCCGATAGTCAGTGTCACAAGAATATTATGTCTTTTTGGGTGAAATGGTTTTTCTAAAAGGATTGCTTGTAAAAATCTATTGTGGAATAATCTACCACTGCATTAATCGCCTGAATGTTTAGTTTTCGAAAAGTGTTTCGACAAATTGAAGTTTGCTAACTTGATGGGAACGTAGGTGAACGCTACCTCTTTCGTGGCTCGCTGGCGACATTGCGAGACTTGCAGGTACAGCTCTGCACTTCGGGACCCTAACCTGCCCAATATGTACGTCCAAATCCTTCCCCAAACCTCAGAGGCCAGCAAATTGGTACCAGTTTGAGTTAGAATAGTAGAGTTTTAGGGCGGTTATGTCCTTGGGGTGGCGGTGGGGGAGAGGGCATACAGGTGAGTGAGCCAATTACTATGCTTGGGTTTAAGCTCTAGGAAGGAGAAGGGATCCTGGGGGGGCATGTGAGCAATTTGTGTTCTCCCTGGCGTTTCTCCTCCTCTGCTGGGCTTAGTCCTAGTCTCACCTACCATCGATCCTGTTTTGAATGTCCCCCCCCCCAAAAGGACATGAATGACGAGCTAGATAGGGTAAGTGGAGCTTGAGAAACACCAAACCGAACATTGGTTAGACACATCAACATCACTGCATGAGCTAGATGTGCATCCAAACTCGTGAAAGTCGCATGTGCGTGGCGCATCCGAAAATGTGTGGTATTCACCTGACAACTAGAACTTTCTTCATTTTCAATTGACAACAGTTCAAAGAAATTTCTGCCGTTTCAACGTAAGTTCATAAATCACGTTAATGAGACGAGGAGGTTCCATTGATCCTTTTCACCTTCCATTCGGCGGGAAGTGAAAGAATCAAGGGATCGGCAAGCGCTTCTGGGCGAATGGGTGGGTTATGCATTTTGATTTGTTTTTATACTGTTATTTTTATTATTATATTTATTTTATATTTATATTTTTATTTTATTATATATTATTTTTATTTTATATATATTATATTTATTATACATTATTTTATATTTATATTTTTTGTAAACGTTTGGATGATATTATCCTTCGCATCTGGTAAACTGTGCGCTGAGCTCAAGTAATCCTCTCCTCGCCCGGAAAGTGCTACAGAAATTTTCTGCCGGGCACAGATCCAAAAGCTACAATGAGCCAGCGCGGAATTTCGATCAGGATGGCAAGCCGCATGCGCCAAAGCTGGCACCTCGAAATATTCACCCTAATAAAGGCATAATCAGGGTATAACAGATTGTTTTTCATGCTTTTATCTTTATCTCTAGATTAATCAAGAAAAATATATTTCCAACTTATTAAAACGGTGGAGGCTCCCTTCTTGGGTTTGCTCTTCGAATTTATGATTGGAGTATCACAATGGCTTCAATCCCTCAAAATTTGCAACCTTACCATCAGTATTGATCAGAACAAATACCGTATTACATTTCTAAAGTCCAAACAAGTAATTCATGAACTGAAACAGCAAAAGCTGTAACAAAACTTACGGCTTCTTGCTGTTTCAGAGTGCAGTAGTATGGTTTGAGAAAGCGTTCCATACGCTCTTCAGATGGAAATATTGTGATGTTTCGAAATAATTTCATGGTTCGACAAATATCCTCCTAATCAATGAATAGCATGTGTATATTTGAGCATACGTACCTAATATCTTTTTGAAAGTCACATATCAACGCTGTTTGATCGGATCTACTGCTCATACGGTTAACCCTGACAAGAGCGTAGCCCTCGGTTTCAGAAAAGCAGAACAGCGCCGAGCGGCGCAGACGACACACCACAAGTTGGACGATGACACAAATGTAAATGTTTTTGCCAATATACATAGCTGATTGCAGTCTCACCCCCCCCCCCCCCCCCCCTTTCTATCAGCTTGTCACTGATTACATTCCTCATTTTTGTCACACTATCACCATCACTGGAATCACCAGTTGCCAGGTTAGGTTTACTTCAAGGCCGACGTCACTTGTAGTGTGTATTCAGCATTCGACGTCTTCTGGTTCTCTGAAAAGGGTACTCGCATGATATGTGGTCGTGATGATTATGAAGCATGGAAAGTTGTAAGTATATGAAAGGCAAGGTCCAGGGATTGAATGGTGCTCGTAGAGAACGGCAGACTACACCTGCAGCCGATCTGAGGACCAGCACATGAAATTTCGTATGACTGATCGCTAGCGTCACCGCTCGTCGCAAAAAAGCTCAGAATCTCACCCAGTCTTCAATAAGTGCTGTTGTCGTATAACTGAGCACCTGTGCCTGCCAACTGAATTGTGCCATTGTTTCCCAGGGCGATCATCGCTGGATTGCCAGGACTGTTCACCAGATGCCACCTGTGAAAATGGAATTTGTCAGTGCAAAGAAGGCTTCGAAGGCGACGGCTTCAATTGTACAGGTGAGTGTTGGAATACTTTATTGTGGTTCTCTGCTAACGATCTCGCATTACGAGTCAAAGGAATTTTGGCTTATGCACTATTTTACGTTTACGGGCAGTACTCCACATCTGAGTGTGACCCGCCCACTCTTTAGCTCCGCCCACACACATGAGAAGAAGAATTCGAATTCAACAAAAACATTGCAGTGGAATAGTTTGTATTTTCAGATGTGAATGAATGTCTTCGTACACCACATGTTTGTGACAGAAATGCCGAATGTCTGAATCGTGAAGGCTCGTTCATTTGCACGTGCATGACGGGATTTGCCGGAAATGGATATAACTGCACTAAAACGAAAAGTGAGTACTGACGAGCACTGAAAAGAATCGGAAGGTATCTCGGTTGTTATAAAAGAGGTGCTGGCCTTCTGACCTCCAGATCACTACCAGATTCTTCCTCGCCCATTGGAGGTACTGCAGTAGCGCACAAGAAGTGCCACAGCATACTTAGGAGCGACTGCTTTCCTTTTGCAATTATAAAGGATACACGCATCCAAGTGCACAATTGGGGGGGGGGGTTTAATGCTAAGGAAGAATCGGCGCATTCACAAACAGATCAGCAACTAAGGCTACTGTGATCTTCTTATGCTGTTAGTATTAACTGTATAATATAATTTGGCTTCAACCTGTAATGGTACCCATTTATTTTCGCTGTGACCAACCTCCTACCCAGTGACTTTCGATTGGTTCCTTTCCCCCGGGCCCAACGTTTGTCGTTTTGTACCCCTCAGTGCTCTAGTAATCGCTCTTCTTTATCCGTCTGATTTTGGGCACTCTATTCTTTATCACCGCGTTAGTAAGTGCCCTAGAATCTTCTGAGGAGGACGCAATACGTGCACGTTTTCCAGTACTGAAATTTTTCCGATTCTTCTTTTATTGGACAATTTTTTCTGCGAACGTTTATTCTGCTTCAAAACTCTAGGAAGGCAGCTTATTCCGATCCGAGTGGTTAGAAGTGTCTGCATGTCGCATCTTGCAAAGCCCGAATTCGATGGGCCTGTCGAGATACGCCATGCTGAAAAGATCAAAAATGGTTCTAGTACCAGCGTCAGGTATAGGTCAGGCCGGCTCATGATTGGCTTATAGTAGCAACAAATATGTCTAGATTCGTGGAGGAACTATTTATTCTGCTATTTCACTCGGAATCATTGGTAGTGAGCACCAGCTAACCGCTCCTGTCTTCCTGTCTTTTAAGCGATCTTCTGCATGAGATTCAGGGGGTGGGGCATATCAATTCCGCTTTATTCTCGTATTTGAAAACTAAAAAAGAGATGATGGAGATTTGTGATGGAAATGAACATTATTCTTTCCCTCTACCAATAATACCAATTTGTTTTTTCTTAATAATGCTGTCGAAATTCATTTCATGAATTGCTCGTTTGCTCAGACTGAGAATAACTTTCTGCACAATCTCGTATTATTCTCCTCACTGACGTTGATATATCCGACGGCTTTTTTTACGCTTTCATATTTCCTCTCGAATCTGACATTTCATGCATGAGACCGGATTTATTTGTACTTCTGGGGAGAAAAGTGATAAACGGAGCGATCAGGAAAATGAGATGATGGAGATGTGATGAAATATGAATAAATTTTTCTTTACATTTCGCCATAACGAAATTTGTTTTTGTTCTTAAAAGTGCTTGGAAATTCCATACATAATTGCCGGTTTGCTATCAATCTGAAAGCAAATTTTTGCTATTATTTTCGCATTATTCCCTTTTTACAAGATAGACCGACACTTTTTCGCTTCACATTCCTTGCCAATACTGATAGTTCATTCGTAGAATGGCTTGATGGTACTTTACTGCAGAAATAAGTGAGAAATGCAGCAACTTTCGCTATTGTAAGCGCCATGTTGTCAACATCCATCCGAATCGTAGACTGTAAATGCCATGTTGTAGATCCATTTAATGGTCTGGACTAAAGCCATGAAGTGAGGACAGCGCCTTGATCAGCTCGGTGCTTCTACGCTCCCAGGCAGGTCGAATAATAGACGAAGAGCTTCGGAGAAGCGTGACCTAGTCGCATTGGGTAGAGCCTAGACTGAGGTGCACGAATATCAGTGACCTCGGTTGGGTAAACCATGTACCGGAATGAAAAGAAAGCGTGTTGCACAAGAGCATGGAGAAAACACTGCAAAAATTAAACAATGGTGAAATTTTATTTTGTGTAGGGTATGAACAAAATTCGGCGTCAACTACTCCCTTTAGGTATGCGCCATGCAGTTTGCCTCCATTCAAAATGCTAGATGTACTTGAATGCGATTCCAACTATTTAGTGACTTTCAGTGACCAGCCTTCATACATGTCATAGTTTTCATCCTCCCAGATGGGTCGTACCAATTAAGCGAAGGTGGAAAGTACAAAGCTTTTGGCCTAGGCTGGACTCATCTGGGTGTGTGTAGGGCCAGTTGCCCCAAAGTTCCACAGTTTGACGCGACAAGGAAAAGTTACCAGAATGTAGCGCCATAATTTTTGCCTTCTTCTTGCAAAAACCGGACTCGCCCAGGAAGCAGCTTTTGCTGATGGATGGCTGTACATTTCATAGCTTCGAAGTAAAAGTTATAATCTCTGCTCAAAATGATTGATTACGGGTTCCTGATATGCCATGAGGTTTTTCCATGTGGAGGATTTTCTGGATGAGTAATAGCTGTGCTTAAGTGTTCTCCATTATGAGATACGGTACACTGCGCTTTTTCAGGGATATACATTCAGGACCCTTCTTTTCGGTCGGGCAACGCTCCATCATAATGTAATACGATTTATAGAAATAACGAATTCAGCCCTTGTTATCAAAAGTGCCCTTTGTTATTGAACGAGCTGCCTTTGTTACAAAGTAGCTTTATTTATGAGTAACTAGAAGGGAGTTGCCGTCGCTTCAGCCAATGAAGGTGGGCCTAATGAAGGTTTTTGGCTGAAGCTACAGTGCTGTCGTTCAATTGTCGCTTAGGAACGAAAAGCTAGAACATTTTACCAAACGTAAGCTGTGATAGACTATGCTAGGAAGTATTATCCTCCTCAAGAATATCGAATCATTCAGGATCATGTGCCGACAAATTCGATCGTGAGATATCAGGAAACTTGCGTGGCGAAATTGGCGTCAGCCAATATACTTCTCGAGATCTACCAGTACAAAAAACACTGTGAGTTAACACATGAATAATTTTAGGCCTCTATACAATAATTCTTATTAGACATACAATGAGACTCGCGCAAATATCGCAATAGAATGGGGGCATCTTAGCGAAGAATAGATAGGACTGAGTGCTAAAAAGGACATTTCTTTGGAAAAGTGAAATGATGCACGATCTTGAGTACGTCTTACCTTGTCACAAGATAGTCCCTTCAACAAAAGAGTATATGTTTTTCACGCAGTTTCAATACGCGCGTTGAAAACACACCAAAAAAAATGGCGGTCCTACTTATCTCGATAGCGCTTCGGATGTTTTTCCCTACGTGGATTCTTATGTACCTTATTCCTCCCCTCTCCTCATCCCCTTCACTCCAGATAATGGAATTTTAGCAGGAGAGAAGCCATTAATTATTGAAGAAGGGAGTTGATGAGAGGACTTAAATATTAGTTAGAAAACTCACTGCTTTGTAAAAACACTACTGTGGTAATTTGAAGGTTCCAATAAAGAGATATGGCCTGCTTGAGCCAATGTGATCTGATCATTGGAGCATGAATTGTTGATTAGGGGCCAGCATTGCGTTGTTCCTTCTTGACGAAGAAGAACATTTTCGTTATGGTTAGATGCACAGTTCTTTAGTACGACTGGTTGACAAAGGACGATCGCCGGGAACATCTTCTCTGGACTTGGAATCTGTGAGCAAGTGTTAGGCTACCACATCTGAACGAAGAGCGGGTATTCCTTTCAGAGATTATTTGTGCTTCAGATGTCTATCAGATTATTTTAGGCGTACCGCGAATCGGGCGGCATCCTCTAGGTTCAAAGCCTAAGTAGGGCATAACTCAATGAAAGACTGGAAATGATCACCACTTGACATCTCTCGCTGCCGCCCGAGGCTACGCAGCAAGGTTTTGAAAAAATGAGATATACCGTCTTGACGCGTTTTAAATGCCATACTGTTCACCATGACCTATAACTTGCTGATAGCGGTCTGATATTGTATAATATAATATACAAGGGAAGTAGGTTTCAGTAGGGTTTTGGCTTGACGAGCTACTATCTTCAGGATATGAAAGGGTTAGGAAGAAAATCGTTCGACACCTAACCCAGCAAAATTGCGTCTATAGGCCACATAGCACAGAGGCTTTCTAGAGAGACACTTTAGGCAAATCACAACCCTCTCTCCGTCCTCTGGAAGAGGTCTCCATGCCCCTCCCTTATTGCATCCTTGACGTGCTCTAATTGAGAAGTTCACACCTTTCACTTCTCAAAGGGGCTAACCTACCCAGTAAAGTTTGCTCAGCGGATACCCGATACCCTCATCGGCAGATAACGACATAAGGAGAAGGGGAGAGCGTTCACCATGGCCGCCCTGCAAGTTCCTGAACCAGAACTTCCTAATTCTCGTGGGCTTTAAAAGATTTCCAGTTTATGGAGATGAAGCCACCATTATTGCCGTATATAGACTCGAATGTCACCCACGTTGTTATCGAATCGTTGACGTTTGGGCGGGGCACCGGAAGGGTCGCCGGATGTCGGGGCGTTTGGGCTTTCGGCGATCGCCGCCTCCAGGGATTGCGCCCTCCCCCACGCTAACCAAGAGGGCGAATCAATGCTCTCAGAAACGCAGCTGCATGCTGCGGTGTTGTACATCAGCAGTTCAACGTCATTCACCTACTCGTTCACTCGACAATGAGATGTCGTCGAACTCGTCCACGATGTACAGAGCTCCGCCCCTTCCCTCAGGAACTCGTCATACAAACATCATTTTAGCCGACAGTTCGACGTCGGATAACGTCTTCAGGCAGCAGCACAGCGAAGCTGTTTTTATTCGTCTCAACGGGTTCAGCATCATTTATTGGCTGGCGTGCTGTGTATCGGCCATCGTTCAAATTCTCTTCACACTATTCCCATTGGATTTTCGAATACTCTACCTCATCACTCATATCTCACTTATTGCGTCTCGTTCAGAAGTGTGCTGGGACAAGTTCGACATGAACTACCGGAATCAGTGTCTCAACGGTGAGCTTCTTTCACTGCTACTTTTTTATTTTTGTTTTGAAAACACTATGATCCTTTTAAGAAAGGAAAACAAAACTTAATATTTCTGTGGGGTTTGTATTTGAAGATGGACGTGAATGTTTTTCCTTAAAGTACTTCTCATTTTGAGATATCTTCCATCGAACGACTGGAGAAACTAGGGTGAAACTCCAGTTCGGGGGGGCACTCCATTGCTATCTTATCCGTAGTACTAGAGAGCAGTTCTTTGGGCTATCGAACACTACGGATAAGATAATAAGTGAACGACTCATTTCGAGCGTACTTTTGATAAGGACCGGTGGATGTCCTACATTCCACACTACCTGCCCATCCCATCCACTTTTCTGCACAGGTGATCCACCCTGGAGCTCCTGCACCCTTAGCCCTTTGCGGAGGTGTCCTTTCTCCTGGTCCAGGACCGTTCCCTTGGGTCATGGCAGGCGGAAATGTGAAAACGTTTCAGGGTTTCTCAATCATTACACCAATATTTAGTTTTATTCCAGCAAGTAACTTAGCTTAAGAAAGATGCTCGATACAGAGTGCTCGTGGCCCAGTCTACCTACCTTAGAGCTATCCGGCACGAAATGGAGCATGCCCCCCCCCGATAATTCTGGGAGGATTACACCCCGAAACTTGCTTTTCCGAAGATTTCACTCGTCTTCGTGTAATCACTCGAGTGCTTCTTCTACTCACTAAAGTTAAGAAGATCTTCGCCGTTGACCCATTCTTAGTGACGCGTACACAATACTGGCGCACGCGATCAAAAGGAAACAGGGGCCGGAGGGGGCAAATCGCCCGCTCACATCACTACCGACACTCTATTGGAAATTATGTTGAGAGCTTGATTTGCGCAACTTGTCAGGCACAAACAAAAGCCGGCGTTCGCTGAAGACACCTAGACGCCCGCATTTGAACTTTTTTCACAAGTGCTCTCAATTGATAACAAGTAGGAAAATGTGCCGACGGCATCCTCCAATCTGCGCCGTGCGTGTTTCTTTGTTCCAGAGAACCACAAGGATTTAAAGGTGCCTGAGCGTGTACGTTGGAAATCGAGGGTTGCTGGCCTACCGAGTTTAGATCCCAGGAAAACCAACTTGGAAAAAGAACAAATGAAAACATATGCTCCTATTTTCTGAAATGGTATCGTTTTATTTGATTCGTTATGAGAATCCCGTTGGACCTTACTTCGGACCTTTTTGGCATGGCTGTGAGTGAAAAGTGAGGAATTTTCCCCATTCCGTTTCTGAACCGAATGACTGCTTCTTTGAAGTGATAGAGTGAAACCCCTTCCACTTTTGCACTTCATCAATTTCGCAAATTTCAATTTGCTCCGAAACTAGTGGTACCACATTCCCTTTGACTTCAAAGCTCCACCCGCAACTCTGCTGTCTGTTTTACCTTACTACAGTAATGCTGTACAAGTCAATGGAAGCAAGAGCAAAGGAATGAATCTACGTTTTTTGACTTCATGCATACGTCTTTCGCTCAGAATCGTAGAATTTTTCTAATATCGATTGCGAATAGCCATTTGTCAATTTCCATGCCGATTTGTCTTTCTTCCTAACCACTCTAATTTCATTATATGAAAGGATTGAAAAGTGGTCGGCAAAGGAAGAAAGATCAGAAGGTGATTGTGAGAAAGGGATTTGTTCTCTTCCAAGCCTGCATCTTGCATATTTTTCCACAAAATAAACATAATATCGGTGCCAGCTCACCAATAATGCGGGGTCATGCTTCAAATGCTGAAATGGTCAGAAACTCCTTATTAGGTCGGTTGATTGCCATCGAATTCGTACTTTTGGGCTGGCTTGTCTTGAGAACTCATTTTTAAGCTATCTTTGCGCGATGGGATCCATAGTGGGAGGCAAGCGATTATGCTTCTCAAAAAATCAACGATTACCGATTCATCTCTTTTTCATTTTATAAAAAATAGGAGATACCATATGCGTCATCAATACGGTACCGCCGTGGCAGACATTTGCCAAACAAACGTTTTCGACCCAAACTTCGACTCCTTGTGATGAAATTGCGCTTAAAAACACTGGCAGTGAAGTTTTCCTAACCTGATAAAGCGTGGTTACTTTGCTCCGTAGAGTTTTTCTACTTTTCAATGCACGAAGCTAGCGGGCAGTTCTTCCCGTACTTACCACGGTTTTTCTCAGTTATTGCTTTCTCTTTGAATAGTCAAATTTCGTGCCAAGATGTGCACTTTCTACTTTTAATTCTCCTTTTTTGACATCATTTCGTCCATTTCACGCCCGCATAGCTTATTATCTGAAGGACTATGTACCGAGGCATTTCAATGGTCCATCCAGCAGGGCGAGCTCTATTCGTGGGCTAGTATTTGTGATATACTGGTTCAGAGATCGTTATTATTATAATTAATGCTGAAAATGCTTCTAATTCGTACTATAGCTACGGAAAAAAATATTGGCAGTATAATTTCAACATTTGGCGCGTTTGAAAGTTATGAAGATCAAAGCAGATTTTTATTCAAAATGGTGAAC